ATTCGGGAATGCTCAGGGGAGCGTCCTAAAGGGGTTTGGGGGGAGGAAATATTCCCTAAAATCCAAGCTGGAACTCCTTTCCTAAATATTCCCTAAAATCCAAGCTGGATCTGCTCGGGGAAGTATTGGTGAAAATCTGACCTGGGATTTGTGGGGTTCAGGATGGGCACGTTGATGGATATTCCCTAAAATCCAATTTGGAATTCTTTTCCTAAATATTCCCTAAAATCCAGTTTGGAAGTTCCTAAATATTCCCAAGAGTCCAGCCTGGACCTTTTTTGATCCAGGATGGATAAGTTGCTAAATATTCCCAAAAATCCAACCTGGAACTCTTTTTCTAAATTTTCCATAAAATCCAGCTTGGAACTCCTTTCCTAAATATTCCCTAAAACTCAACCTGGATCTCCTTTCCTAAATATTCCCTAAACTCCAGCCTGGAACTCCTTTCCTAAATATTCCCTAAAATCCAGCCTGGACATTTTTCGACCCAGAATGGACATGTTGCTAAATATTCCCAAAAATCCAATCTGGAACTTTTTTCTAAATTTTCCCTAAAATTCAGCCTGGAACTCCTTTCCTAAATATTCCCAAAATCCAGACTAGACATTTTTTGATCCAGGATGGATACATTGCTAAATATTCCCAAAAATGCAACCTGGAACTATTTTTCTAAATATTCCCTAAAATCCACCCTGGACCTTTTTTGATCCATGATGGATAAGTTGCTAAATATTCCCAAAAATCCTGCCTGCACATTGCTAAATATAAACCAAATATTTCAATTTCATGTTTAAATGGATAAATATTCCCTGAAATCCACCCTGGAACTCCTTTCCTAAATATTCCCTAAAATCCAGCCTGGAACTCCTTTCCTAAATATTCCCTAAACTCCAACCTGGAACTCCTTTCCCAAATATTCCCAAAATCCAGCCTGGGCCATTTTTTGATCCAGGATGGATACGTTGCTAAATATTCCAAAAATCCAATCTGGAACTTTTTTCTAAATTTTCCCTAAAATCCAGCCTGGAACTCCTTTCCTAAATATTCCCAAAAATCCAACCTGGATTTCCTTGGCTAAGTATTCCTGAAAATCTAACCTGGGATTTGTGGAGTCCAGGATGGACACGTTGATGGATATTCCCTAAAATCCAATTTGGAATTCTTTTCCTAAATATTCCCAAAAATCCAGCCTGGACATTTTTTGATCCAGAATGGACCCGTTGCTGAATATTCCCAAAAATCAAACCTGGAACTCCTTTCCTAAATATTCCCTAAAATCCAGCCTGGAACTCCTTTCCTAAATATTCCCAAAAATCCAGTTTGGAACTCCCTAAATATTCCCAAGAGTCCAGCTGGATATTTTTTGATCCAGGATGGATGCATTGCTAAATATTCCCAAAAATCCAATCTGGAACTCCTTTCCTAAATTTTCCCCAAAATCCAGCTTGGGACTCCTTTCCTAAATATTCCCTAAAATCCAATCTGGAACTCCTTTCCTAAATATTCCCTAAAATCCAATCTGGAACTCCTTTCCTAAATATTCCCAAAAATCCAATCTGGAACGCCTTTCCTAAATATTCCCTAAAATCCAGCCTGGAACTCCTTTCTTTAATATTCCCTAAAATCCAGCCTGGACCTTTTTTGATCCAGGATGGACATGTTGCTAAATATTCCCAAAAATCCAGCTTGGAACCCCTTTCCTAAATATTCCCAAAAGTCCAGCCTGGACCTCCTTCCCTAAATATTCCCAAAAATCCAGCCTGGACATTTTTTGATCCAGGATGGATGCATTGCTAAATATTCCCAAAAATCCAATCTGGAACTCCTTTTCTAAATATTCCCTAAAATCCAGCCTGGACCTGTTTTGATCCAGGATGGATCCATTGCTAAATATTCCCAAAAATCCAATCTGGACCTTCTTTCCTAAATATTTCCCAAAATCCAGCCTGGACCTTTTTTGATCCAGGATGGACGCATTGCTAAATATTCCCAAATATCCAGCCTGGAACGCCTTTCCTAAATATTCCCAAAAATCCAGCCTGGATCTTTTTTGATTCAGGATGGACACATTGATGAATATTCCCAAAAATCCAACCTGGAACTCTTTTTCTAAATGTTCCCTAAAATCCAGCCTGGATCTTTTTTGATCCAGGATGGACACATTGATGAATATTCCCAAAAATCCTGTCTGGAATTCCTTTCCTAAATATTCCCAAAAATCCAACCTGGACCTTCTTTGCTAAATATTCCCTAAAATCCAGCCTGGACCTCCCTCATTCCAGGAAGCACACCATGCTAAATATTCCCAAAAATCCTGCTTGGACATTGCTAAATACAAAACAAATATTTCAATTTCATGTTTAAATGGATAAATATTCCCTGAAATCCAGCCTGAAACTCCTTTCCTAAATATTCCCAAAAATCCAGCCTGGGCCTGTTTTGATCCAGGATGGATCCATTGCTAAATATTCCCAAAAATCCAACCTGGAACTCCTTTCCTAAATTTTCCCTAAAATCCAGCCTGGAACTCCTTTCCTAAATATTCCCTAAAACTCAACCTGGAACTCCTTTCCTAAATATTCCCTAAAGTCCAACCTGGATCTCCTCGGCGAAGTATTCCTGAAAATCTGACCTGGAATTTGTGGAGTCCAGGATGGACACGTTGATGAATATTCCCTAAAACTCAACCTGGAACTCCTTTCCTAAATATTCCCTAAAATTCAACCTGGAACTCCTTTCCTAAATATTCCCAAAAATCCAATCTGGAACTCCTTTCCTAAATATTCCCAAAAATCCAGCCTGGATCTTTTTTGAGCCAGGATGGACACATTGATGAATATTCCCAAAAATCCAGTCTGGAACTCCTTCCTTGAATATTCCCAAAAATCCAGCCTGGAACTCTTTTTCTAAATTTTCCCTAAAATCCAATCTGTAACTCTTTTCCTAAATATTCCCAAAAATCCAGCCTGGACATTTTTTGATCCAGGATGGATGCATTGCTAAATATTCCCAAAAATCCAACCTGGAACTCCTTTCCTAAATCTTCCCAAAAATCCAGCCTGGAACTCCTTTCCTAAATATTCCCAAAAATCCAGCCTGGAACTCCTTTCCTAAATATTCCCTAAAACTCAACCTGGAACTCCTAAATATTCCCAAAAATCCAGCCTGGACATTGATAAATATTCCCAAAAATCCAACCTGGACCTTCTTTGCTAATTATTCCCTAAAATCCAGCCTGGACCTCCCTCATTCCCGGAAAGACACCATGATAAATATTCCCAAAAATCCTGCTTGGACATTGCTAAATACAAAACAAATATTTCAATTTCATGTTTAAATGGATAAATATTCCCTAAAATCCAGCCTGGAACTCCTTTCCTAAATCTTCCCTAAAATCCAACCCAGAACTCCTTTCCTAAATATTCCCCAAAATCCAACCTGGAATGCCTTTCCTAAATATTCCCTAAAACTCAACCTGGAACTCCTAAATATTCCCAAAAATCCAGCCTGGACCCATTTTGATCCAGAATGGATGCACTGCTAAATATTCCCAAAAATCCAACCTGGAAATCTTTTCCTAAATGTTCCCTAAAATTCAGCCTGGAACTCCTTTCCTAAATATTCCCTAAAATCCAACCTGGAACTCCTTTCCTAAATATTCCCAAAAATCCAGTTTGGAACTCCCTAAATATTCCCAAGAGTCCAGCCTGG